CATCTAAACTGGGGCAGGCAGAATCTGGAGCCGTTGCCCATAGTAACCAATCAGTATCTCTCTTCAGGTTGTTCAGTTAAGCTTTGAAAATGAAAGAGAAGCTGCTTGGTTGCGGTGCACAGCCGCCCCGGGTTTTGTCTCCTCACAAAGGTCCCTATTTCCCAATACAAGGTCTTTCCCCAAAGCTGGATGAACAGAGAGAGTTTAATATTATGACACATTTACGGCTCAGCGCCGATAGCAATTTAGTATTAGTCATTTCTGGCACTTTCCCCGGCCATCTCCAACATGGAAACAATGAGTGGGTAGGCTTCCAGATGCAGGCACCAATATACCGCAATATGGAATCCAGACGGCAGCTCCCCTGACAGCTAGAGCAGGGGTGGGCAACCTGGGCACCCCAGCGGTTGTAGAACTACAAGTCCCATAAGGCATTGCAAGACTGACCGCCACAGGCATGACCATGGACGCCGTCGGCCATCTCGCCTTGCACAGCCGGCACGGACGCCGTCGGCCATCTCGCCTTGCACAGCCGGCACGGACGCCGTCGGCCATCTCGCCTAGCACAGCCGGCACGGACGCCATCGGTCATCTTGCTTAGCGCAGCCAGCCTGGATGCCTTCAGTCATCTTGCCTAGCGCAGCTGGTATGGATTATTAACAGTCAGATATTTCAGATGGTCCCATTATTTGGGCAAGGCCATCTCATGGCAAACCACCTAATGCACTAATTAAACTCATGCATAGCAATTGTTTACCGGTCTAAATGAATGGAATTCCTGTCCATCCAGTCCCAAGATTCACAGAGCTCTGCCACAGCACAGCCCCATGTGACAGGAGACTTAGTGATATTAAAGTCCAAAGGTTTTTAATCTATTTGAAATGCTGATGAAATCACTTACAATGAATGCTGCTCCTGGATGTTTAAAAATTCTAGTCTCCTGCAGAATCAGCTGGTCCCCTGAGCCCCCTTCCTAATATCCTGTTTGAGGGTGACTCCTTTCCCTCGCAGGGTCCTATGAAGCCACCCGTGTGTGCTAATAAGCTGTGTGTGTTGCCACAAACATGCAGACACAGCAAGCCAAGCCCATGCCCTGCTCCTTACTTCTCCATGCTAGTAGATAGACAGTTGCCATAGACTGCCCTTGTGATCTTGTACAAGACAGGAAGTTTAGGGAAGCAGAGCTGAGAGAGTTGGAGCTGTTCAGAAACATGACTGTAAGCGCTTGGGCGAAAATATAAAGAAATCCTTTGCTGGGCGATGTATATTTGATTGATCCGGAGTCATTCATGACAAAAAGTTAAGAGTTTAACACGACTAATTTTTCTCTGCTGCAGTTGCGTAACCCTTCCAGGTCATATCCCTTTATATGACTGGACAGTGAAAGAAGAAATACAGAGCGGCATTAAGGGAACTATGTCCCAACTTTTTTATGCCATAGCTCTCTTCAGGGTCACAGGAGGACCTATCATAATGCCCTCCTGTGGCCCAAAACTCAGCATATAGCAGGCCAACGCCTGCTATATGCTGAGAGCGCTGAGCCATGCTGCGACCAGATCCCGGCAATATTGGAGGGGGGTAGTTCCATGTTCCCAAATTGCCCTTTACATCCACCGCCAGTTGTTTCTTTTGCTGTCTGTGTACTACTGGGCATGGATTTCCTCTCACTTCCTTTTTCTTGGTGCCAATGTATGAGTAGAGAGGATGAGACACAGACAGCAAAACCAATCGTAAAATCTAAGAGGGTCTAACCCAGGGAGAGGAAACCTCAGCCCTCCAGCTGTGCTGAAACTACAAATCCAACCATGCCTCTGGGAATCATACCTGTGGCTGTCTTGTAATGCCGCATGGGACTTGTAGTTCCACACCAGCTGGAGTGCCCAGGTTAGCTATACCAAAATCTAACTTCTACCCTCCATCCAAACCTTAAAAAGTTTTTTTTTAGATATGCTTTAAGCTTGGCCCCGCCCCCTTCAATCTTCAAACCTCTAAGAATTGTGCAATTTCTGCAGTATGTGTCCTTCTGCATTGCTGATGTATCTGGAAGATTGTGGAAGTTGTCGTCTCATCGTCTGGTGTCAGCTGATCCCCATCAGGAGTCAGGATGACCAATACCAGGCAAATATATATATTTCCAGTTTTGACCCGTGATGGTAGGAGAGCTCTGTGATTGGAGGAGAGCCAGTCACGTGACTGACATTTTCACACTTGGACTCCAGAAGACAAAGCACAATGATGCACTTTATAAATCTGCAGTTTTTATTTTTTATAGGTGGCACCCGCCGATTTGTCAATGGACCCCTAGATGATCGCAGGCTGTTATCGGCTGTTATCTTCCAAGCAGGAGCGGCTCTGATTGGCTGCAGATCGCAGACCTGGACGTTGGCTGTCAGCGGGTCCCAGAAGAGTCATGTACGGTGACCATTTAACACAAAAACCCACAAGGGTCATACAAAGCCCTCCATGACGTTATATATCGGCCCCTTGTGGTGACGCAGTTCTGGCGTCCTAGGGTCAGTTTCAATCAGGGATGCCAAATGAAACTAATTTGTCAATGTGTTTGTAACGTTATCTTCGGGGTCCCCCACCCAGGACCAGCTCCCACCCCAGGGCTGTGCTAGAGGAATGAATCTCATACATCACCCAACGGCCTGAGTACATCGTATGACGTATATACCCACCACCAGTGTCCCTGTACCGTGTCCCTGTACCATGTCCCCCATAACCAGTGCCCCCTTACTGAGACCCCCATAACCAGTACCCTCACCACCAGCATCTCACATAACCAGTGCCCCCACCACCAGCCTCTCCTATAACCAGTGACCCCGTACAGAGACCCCCATAACCAGTGCCCTCATACTGTTTCCCTCATAACAGTGCCCCCGCCACCAGCATCCTTGTACCACGTGCCCCATAACCAGCGTCCCCACCGCCAGCGTCTCCTATACCCAGTGCCCCCGTACTGAGACCCCCACCTCCCATAAACTGTGTCCCTGTACCATGTCCCCCATAACCAGTGTCCCTGCTACCAGCGTCTCACAACCAGTGCCCTCATACCGTGTCCCAACCACCAGCGTCTCCTATACCCAGTGCCCCCGTACTGAGACCCCCACCTCCCATAAACTGTGTCCCTGTACCATGTCCCCCATAACCAGTGTCCCTGCTACCAGCGTCTCACAACCAGTGCCCTCATACCGTGTCCCAACCACCAGCGTCTCCTATACCCAGTGCCCCCGTACTGAGACCCCCACCTCCCATAAACTGTGTCCCTGTACCATGTCCCCCATAACCAGTGTCCCTGCTACCAGCGTCTCACAACCAGTGCCCTCATACCGTGTCCCGACCACCAGCGTCTCCCATAACCAGTGCCCTCATACTGTGTCCCCCATAACCAGTGCCCCTGTACCATGTCTTCCATAATTAGTGCCCCCGTCACTAGCGTCCCCCATAACCGGTGCCCCCTTACCAGTTAAGCCCATCCGACTGAACGCAAAAACTTTTCGTCCATGTCTACTTTTACTGAGCCAGCATGGCCAGATACAGGCAGTCACGGTTCTGTTTACATCCGGCCACCATCAAGCAAGTTCCTTTTCCCTCCATCCCAAAACAGAGGAAGAGTTGGAATGGATGGCAGAGGATCCGGCAAAACAGGACAGTGCCAATGGGACCTCACAGCGCTCCGTCACCCCCAAAAGCCAGAGGGGGGGGAGCTACAAGGGGCGGACTTCGCTCACAGGGGCTTGTGTGTCGGGGACAGACACGGCACCGTGTAATAACATGGAGGAGGCAGACAACGCAGAGGAGATCAGGAATTTCGATGGCTGGTCCTCCGCCGCAAATCTAACACTGAACTGGAAACCGACATGATAAATCGGAGAGATATGAAAGGGGAGACCTGGCCGCGATACTACGCCCACCTATGGCGATACTTCGCCCACCTACACATTTTGGGGATTTTTTTTTTAAGGCAAAACCATCGGCAGGGGTCATGTGACCCGCAGCTGAATTTGCTGATCACCCCCCAAGGTGGATTTTGTTGGGTCACCCACAACATCCCCAGACCAGTGACAATGGGGAAGGAGTGACACCCAGGGGCTGAGGCCCAGCTGGGGTCACCCCATATCAGGCTGGGACACAGTCACTACACATCCCATCATCCTCCCCGCCTATGCTGGGACTTGTAGTACTCCACGGTCTGGGAACACACAGGCCTCCTATATATTTCCATGGCACGGCGCTCCCCCCTCCCGGTCGGCCACATTCATCACAATGAAGGCTCATCCCCTCCCCCATTTCCCGGCCAGCCTCCACCTCCCATTATACAGCGCGATGTCCCCTCCCCGGGCCTCCAGCCGCAGCTCCCTCTGCTCTGCGTGTCTCTGGATCTCCCCGTTCGCGTCCCCGATACTGAGGAGCCGCACGCCGGGAAACACCGACACCGCCGCCATCTTTCCAGAGGCGGGCACACGCTCGGCGACAGGAATTATGGGTAGGAGGAGGGGACGCGCACCAGAGAACAGCGACACGCAGCGGCCAGGAGGCGGGGGCGGGGCCCGCGGACAATGGACAGGGAGAGAGGGCGGAGCGCTGGTCGGCATCTTGTGGGCGATTTAGGGTATTACACGTTACAGATAAACATAACCGGCTTTGTCTCAGAAAGAGGGCGCTGAGGACACCGTGCGGTGAAGATGGGGTACTACATTGTACAGTTATATAGTGATTACAATGATACTAAACTCAGGAGTTAAATCTTAAAAATACATTCAAGTACCACAGGCGTCCCGAGGCCGGGTGTCACCCGGAGTAGAGACTGGGTGATACCCCGCAGTAACGTCATCACGCATGCGTGTGAAGTCATCACGCGCGTGCGCAATGACGTCATCGCACATGTGCGGTCATCTAATTGATGCCTGCCGCAGCGTCAATTAGATGACCGCACATGTGGGAATCTTGGTGATGGACGCCGGCAGAGAGAGGAGGGGACGTTCACCAGGCAGGATGAGGTATGCCGCCAGGTCGCCTCGTCTCTACTGACACTGTCGGGCTCTCGGTCCATGACCGAGTGCCCGACTTTTTAGAGGGGGTGACACCAAAATGACTGTCAGTCATTTAGGTGTCACCCCTCCAATGGTGTCAACCGGGTGTGGGCCGCACCCCCCTTGTG